TTCTCTAGCCTCCGCTGTTGTACGTATGTGATTACGAGTTCAATTCCCGCTCACGGTCAACACCAGTGACGATTATCTGAACCGGTCCTGTGCCTTCCCTAGGTCGACTCAGTCTCAAATGAGTACCTGGTGCGTTCTGCATACATTGACGCGAGGGAGACAAAGGCGGCCGGGCGTGGTGTTGGCCACCCACCCGCTCGTGTGAAGTGCCAGCCTTCATACTTGACAGCACTTGCGTCAACGGTCTGTTCAGGTTATACGGGTGATCGCATTGGCTTTAAAGTGTACCTATCCTGGCACGAGTGCCGTAATGACTAGGCCATCCCGTGGTGACATTGTTGTTGTTGTGTGCACAAGTATTTTTGCAAATAACTCTGTGTGGCGGTTAATTAGAAAACCGTTATGTGTTTTAGTATTATTCACATTCACAACATGAAGCATATGGCAGAGATTGCCTGAAACTTAGCTACTTAAATGATTATGCAATGTATTAATATTACAGACAATGTTCCCTGTTATGTTTTAAGCATTTCAGGCAATTAGTGGATTTTTTGTATTCCCTTTTCAATTGTTGTTAGTGAGTACCTATTAAGACTATAATAGTACACACATGAGGGGGTGGGCGTGTGGTTACCACTACCTGGACATCCATGTCTACCCCCAGTGCTGATGATTGTACACCACACCAGATACTGATTTAAAGGCTGAGTCGACCTAGGGGAGACCCACAACATGTTAAAATATCACTCACCACTGGTTTAAAGGCTGAGTCGACCTAGGGGAGACCCGCAACATGTTCAAATATCACTCACCACCGGTTTAAAGGCTGAGTCGACCTAGGGGAGACCCACAACATGTTCAAATATCACTCACCACTGGTTTAAAGGCTGAGTCGACCTAGGGGAGACCCACAACATGTTCAAATATCACTCACCACTGGTCTAAAGGCTGAGTCGACCTCGGGAAGACCCGCAACATGTTCAAATATCACTCACCACTGATTTAAAGGCTGAGTCGACCTAGGGGAGACCCACAACATGTTCAAATATCACTCACCACTGGTTTAAAGGCTGAGTCGACCTAGGGGAGACCTATGACCGGTTCAGATATCCCTCCACCACTGCTTTAATCCACAGCCAAGGAAATCCTCAAAACTTTTTTTTTATTTTAACAACGAAAAGGGCCAGGCTCCGTCTTTACGCCCGTCAGCAAATATGCACGGGCTTAAAGCAAAGTAAAGAAACGTCCAAAAATCAGTTAAAGTTTGTCGGCAATGAGCTTCCAATCACTGCCGCCCCTAATTAGCCGCGCTAATCAGCGGAGGAGAGGGAAAACAATGAACGGGCAGCGGGGACGGCTCCCCCCTGCGGTTCTGCGTATCGCACGCGCTGCAAAGGCACAGCCCTGCAAGTGGCTCGCTCGCGACACTGCTGGCGGAAGGGGCTCCGCTCGAGGAAGCTCCTTGAGAGTGTCTTGGCCTCCTCTTCCAAGCTGGACAGACGTGTTGGAAGCAGCTGTGTGTACGTGTTTGGGGGGGGGGGGGGGTGGTATAAGCACAAAAAAAGTATAACGGGAACAGGAAAGATCGACTAAAACTAAATATATTTATTTTTATTTTATCAGGTAAGGGCCACTTAGCGATATAGCAATTGTTTTTTTTCAGAAGCGGACTGGCTACAAATTATCGCTCAAGCAATTGGCTTATCATCGCGTGGACATTTATAGCAATCTGAGACTCTCAACGCGTGATGTTGATTCTTTGATTCTTAATGTGGTGGGAAAAACCGGAGGACCCGGAGAAAAATCCACACGACCACGGGGAGAGAGAGAGAGACACGCAAACTCCAAATATACAGCAGGCATCAGGGTCGGGATTGAACCCACGACCTCCTGTATACCAGGCGAGGTAGTTAACATCCCGCCACCGCAGTGTCCATGTTATGTGATTCTGTCAATCCACTGTTGGATGAAAGGCTCTCTGTGCCATGCCGGTCGTGGGAGTGTTTGACCATACTTCACCACGCTGGCTAACACGGGTTGGTAAAACGAGGGTGGGGGGGCAGGTGCCCTAGGACCCGATTCAGATAACACTCACCACTGATGTTAGCCTTGGCCTGGAATCAAACTCAGGCTGGTGGGGTTCAGAGCACGGTGTGCAAACCGCTGCACCACTGCGCTGTATGAAGTGGGCGCAATAAACCCTCACGGCAGAACTTTTCACAATCAGAATCTTAATTGAAACTGGAGGAATCCTAAGAGCTATGAAGCTTTTTTTCACAGATGCCCAGTATGGAGGGGGGGAGGAGGGGAGGCAAAGCAACAGCGAGGGAATGTGGTGGCCCAATGATTGGATAACGTTTTCCTCTGAACTCGGTCACCAGAGTTCAATTCCTAGTTGTGGCAAACGCCGGTGGCGAGTCGGTCCTAGACACCCTCCATCCTGCCCCATTCACCAGCCCACATTGACCGGTATGTCAGTTACAGCAATGGTTGCGGTCCGCAGATAGATTTGGTTCACTCACTGGTTTGAGTCTGCATGTAGTGTGTTGACCTTCCCCCGCACCTCCGATTAGAGCGGTTGGCTATGTACGGTGCGAAAGAAGTTCAACATACATAAATACTTATCTAAGTGTGCAGAAGATGTCAGTGTTAGCCCCACGTAACGACGCAATGGGCGGTCCACCAATACGAAGGAGACATCACAGGGATACGCTCCGCTAGTCCTGACTCGGTTATCTGGGCTTCACCGCCGGAATGTGAAATTGTAGTTGTTGATCTGCATCTACATCAGCAGCCGTACGAGAAAAGAGGAATAAGAGTCATCCCCTTTATCAGCATGGGCTTTCTCTAAGATACACTCCATTTTCTGGCCACATGAAGCCAAACCCACTCATTGTAGGAATTGGCCAAAAATCCCCCATGCAGGACCCTCCTGCAAAAAGAGTCTTGAGACTCAGCGAGGCTCTGCTGGACAAATACCCGGGCATTATGGAATAATTGACATTGTTCATGGAAATCCCAGGCATATATTAAATAATGAAAACCACGGTTCTGTCTGGTGGATAAGACAAACAGAGCTGAGGGTGAAACGAACGCTCCCAACGATGCGATCGCTTTAGCAAACTTCAATGCGTTGGGCAATTTGGAAACACGTGTACTTCATTGTTGTTGTTAATTTCATTGTTATGCATGTTGTTGTTTTTGTTGCCGTGCGGAAATTAATGGGGGGGGGGGGGGCGGGGCTGGGGGGTGCGGGGGGGGCTTGCGGCTACCGACGAACGAGAACAAAAAAAAGATTCGGCGGCGTGCGAGACCTTTTTATTTTGAACGCTTTCAAGTCGGGGCAGATTCGCGCAGGGCGATCTTTCGAGGAGGCTGTTGCCATCGCAGCCGATTGCACGCCGAGCTCCCGCACAGACCTGGAAGCCTCATTACGCCGCCAAGCACAAACTCGGGGTGGAGGAGTCGTGCAGGAGAGGAACCCCGCGGTGCTCTCTTGGCCGTTGACGAACAGCGAGCGAGCTCCGTGGTGCCGCCATCCCTCTTTCGCCGTGCGTTCTTGTCCACGTCTTCACTGCCATCATCGACAGACCCGATCGATCAACTGCTGGATGAAGGCAACTCCTAAAGCCGTCTCACCAATGCTTGCAATCCGCCTAGCACCTGGACCGCGGGCTGATTTCCTCATCCGTCCGTCCGCTGCGTTCCGCGTCCCCTCAGATACGTTCCATACCTTGGCTGCCACTCCACCAGTTGGTCTTCACCGTGGGTCGGCAACCGAAATAACGAGTAGAGCCATTTTTTATTCGAATTCGATAAGCGAAACAAAACAAAAAAAACACACCCTCAATATTTCAAGAGCCGCAACGTCACGGAGCAGTCCTTAAAGAGACGCACGTTGCTCCGGAGGGACAGGTTTGCTGACCTCTTCTAGACCAAGGGTCACCACCACCATCATCATCAGCACCACCATCATCATAATCTATTCTAACGACGCGTCCTGCCCGAGCCCACTGGCTTCTCTTGATAGTATTTACCTGCGTAGGTCCTCACCCATGCGTGTGTTCCTCTCTCTGCGTGTCTCTTGAAGTATATCCAAGCATGAGTCTGCCCACGCTTTTCAGAGCACTTTGCTGTGTTCTTGTTAACCTTTCATTGTCCGTGAACATGTTTCTGAATGATACGTAACAGCAGATATATATATATTTTTTAAAAATCGTGTCTATATCTAAGCATCATCATACAAGTATTCCGACAAAAATGGTTTTATGCCATCTTGTCAAAACGCTAAACTATTTTTTACATCGACTTGGTTTTCAAGTCAAGCGCTTTTAATAATAATAATACTAAATATATATACCTAGAACGTGTCCCATTTCTTTTCACCATTAATCAGACGACCTTGTATGCACGTATGTTGAACTTCTTTCGGACCATACGTAGCCAACCGTCTTAATCGGAGGTGCGGGCGGGCGGGCGGGCGGGCGGCGGGGCAGGACAACAAACTAAATACACACAGAGCAGCGAAATACCGCTTGCACCTTCAAAGCTGCTTCGATATCCGTCGCTCGAATCTCCGTTCGGGACGTTTTTTTGTTTCTTCCCAGAAGTCGCGCGCGGCCACGCTGCGTGATACTGACGGGAGCGGCACCGCTCTCGTGTCGCGCGTTCATCGCAGAGCTCCCCCGTCAACGGTTGAAGGCCGAGAGAGACGATATCGTTGTTTCTGACTTTTTAAACATACGGGGTGAGGGTGGAGGGGGGGGTGGAGACGTGACACCACGGCCACCTGACAGATATCACCGATCATTGGCGGCGGGAAATCTTTGAGAAGGCTTAAGCGGCGTCTTTGGCGACGCGGGGCGTCGTGAGCCGCTCCGAAGTGAAACTTTACCCCGCGTGTATTAATTTATTCGAGTGGAGTTCACCAGGCTCTCCGATGCGCCTTCGAGTTGTGCACCGCGTCCGACGTTTCGCTCCGCGTGCCCGCGATGTTGCAGAGCGGAAACTTGAACCGTTGGACATCGCGCCGAGTGACACTCGGTTTGAAATCCTGAAGGGAGGGAGGGAGGAGGTAAAAACCGCATCGGAGAACCACAGCGGCCGCAGCCGTGAAAACCAACACGGGTGAGTTTATGAAGCACAGCAGACTGACTGATGCCGACACGATGTATGTCATGTCATTTTTTTTTTAAAGAGTGGCGGATGGATGGACAGTTGAGGAGGGAGTGGGGGACGGAGCGAGAAACGGGGAGAAAGAACACTCCGCAATTTCCAGGTTAATCGGGCTGGCGATAGACAGAATTGGCAGTCTGGCGAGGCCGGGCGGATGGTTGTTTGATGTGTGCCTACTTCAATTTAATTAAAAACAGATCAAAAAGTGGGGGAGCCTTCCTACTCCCAGCGATTCACGGATACAGCACTTCATTGTGCTTCCTTTCCTTCCTGTAATTTTTATTTATTTATTAAGCACAGAAAAAATCCCTTTCAATTCTCTCCTCCCTTCTCCTACCTTCGTGTTTTTTTTTAATGTGTACAGTTGTATACTGTAATTATATGAGTTGAATGCTTGGAATTATACTGAAGGGACGGGGCAGGGGAACACGTGGTTCAGAGAACGTACGCAAGTTAGAGACGTCGCTAAGAGGGACGATGTATGTATATTGTATTATGTTGTTGAACTTCTTTCGCACTGTACGTAGCCAACCGCAGCAATCGTAGGTGCGGCAGAAGGCCAACAAACTAGACACTAAAAGCAGTTCTAAAGAAATTACTTTTCAATATAGATTATTTAATAGTGCATCGCTCCAGTGGCATCCTAATATCGGAGGGAAGAGCATTCCAGACGGCCGCAAAGGCGTTTATGAAAGCGCGCGATGCAGTGACTCTCATTGTTCGATGGCTAATCAAAAGCCGCTGCGAGGATGATCGAAGTTCGCGTGATGGCTCGTGCTCCTTTGATGGCCAGTGGTTGAGACGGAGTGGCAGTGCAAGGACAGAATGTGCACAAGTGGAAGTTCACCGCGGAGATGGAGCAATGAGATTGGCTCGTTTGCAGGAGCTCAGGGCCTTTGCAAGACTGGCGATGGAAGGATGATGAAATCAGCTTGCGTGCCAGGATTTTGTGTGGATTTTGGCATAACAAGACCGTGAGAGATGGTGACATTTTCGAAAGGGCTTCATCCAGCCGTCGAGGAGCGTGGGGGATGATTTTGATGATGATGATGATGCGCAGGACTCAAATTTAATGAGGTGGTATACTGTTTGTGTGCGATCATTGGTGTGTCCGGGTTGTGAGCATCAACTCATTACCAGAATCGAGAATCCGGTTTTAATCACAGACGGCTGCAACCTCGACTCAAACTCGGATTCTCATCAGTTCCAGTTCATTGCTCCTGACCTCCGAGCCACCTCAAATAATCCGAGGTCTTATCCATCTCGTGATTGACTCTGCCAACGAGATGGTTTGAAAGTTGCATTGATTCAGTTGCTCATTGATTGCGATGATTTTACACCAAAGGGAGTTGTGTGTGAGAGAGCAGAACAGCTGTAAGTGATGGTCTGTTATTATTAGAAAAGCAAACGTTTACGTAGTTTAAACGTCATTGACCACTTTACCTACTCTAACTAATTATAACGTAAAATAATATAACAATGAACTATATGCATTTTGAGCTACCACTTATGTTGAAGACAACTTCCCAAACAAATGTGTGCAGCAATCGCTCACTTTGCTGTTAGTTAAGCGGTACAATTTTCAAACGATCCGTTTGGTCCTAACTTGTCGCTATACAATGCAGCGCCTAACTCGGATTGCCGCCTGGGTCCCGGCATGAGCTGGGCAGTGCGGGAATGGGCGTCCGTTTTTGGATGGCAGCATTTGGTTTGTGCCCAGACCAGGTACCGGTTACTGTGTTGAACTTTATTGCACATGAGTTAGGCCACGTGGTGGTTGGTTAATGCAAACATTGTCGTGCGTAACAGTCCAGCGTCCAACAAGGACGGTTTGGCTACGTACGGTGCGAAAGAAGTTCAATATGTGTGCACATATTGTCACGTTTGCGAAGATATTATTTATACGTGCCAGTGTATTTGGTCAAATCCAGACCAGTAATGTTCACCAGGTGGCTTCAGACCTTTTGCGACAGAATTTAACGTGAACGTGCATTCGTTGCAGTACACTGCACCGTTCTAAATGTGCCTAGGCTGCTTGAGAAAGAGGTCTGGGTTTGGTCTCTGCGAAAAAAGGTGCCTAACTCTGACCCTTAACCCGAACGCAGAGGTCGTGGATCCATGGATCGCTGCTAAAATGCTGTTACACTCCCTTTCTATGGGCGTCGAGGTGATGTGGCCTGGGCTGGCCAGGAGAAGGCAGTATAGCAAGTGGACTCATCTCTGTCTGTTTCCATCTGTACGGAGATCGAGCGTTGCCCAACCTCGTGCTTGTGGGGTTTTCTCCGGGTGCTCCGCCTTCCTCCCAAAACAAAAATAAAACCCAATGCGGGATCCATCAGAACAAAAAAAACTATCCTTGACGTTAGTGTGGCTTTTTCCTGGCTAAATGATTATCATTACAGTATTATTAATGTGGGAGGCACAAATGTTCCCGCTTTGAAAAAAAAATATTCGAGGAGGGGGGGAGTGAATATTTCTTTAACCAGCAAGAAGCTGGCAATATATGAATAAAAAAAATCATGCATTTTATATAAAATAAATAACAAGCCTTAAGGGAAAAAGCTAAGGCGAACTTAATTTGCCTTAATGAGGAACATATGGCAGTTAGGGACATCATATTGACTGCGATATTGACGCAGAGCTGAGGGGGATTGGGGACGAACGAAGCCTTGAAATTATGGAGCAACAGACAGCAGTGGAGGGATTTCATTCAGACTCATTGTCACTAATAACAATACAAAACATGGGAAAAACCCTATTATTATATTTTGGTACTGGCAAAGGAGGTCATCGTCACTGTTGAGCAGACGGATAGGACCTATGAACTATGAACAATTATTTTTACTGTAAACTATTTTATATTTTACCAGGTAAGGCCCACTGAGCTACATAGCTCTTTTTTCAGAAGCTGACCACAAATGATAGCTCAACGACGTGGCTTATCGCGTGGAAATTCATAACAGCCAAATACTCTGAAAGCGCGTGTTTCTAAATGCGGAGGGACAAACCGGAGAATCCGGAGAGAGACACGAAAATTCCAAATATGCAGGCATCATTGGTCGGGATCGAACCCACAACCTCCTTCGTACCAAGCGAGAGAGTGAACGTCTCGCCAATCGTGGCTCCCTGGATGAGACGAAGAGCGAGCGTTACCAACCGTTAATGGGCTTGGGCTGCACGTGCCGCGAGGAGGCAAAACGGTGGATGGACGGGACTCGTTACAGAATGACGGCGAAAAGGAGAAAAAATACGCAAGAGGTCAACTACCAGAGAGATGGTGTGATGATATCAGAGCTCAACTAACCGTGGAGAGTGTGGAGCGGTGGCGCAGTGGTTAGCGTGCGGCGCTACGAACCCGATGATCGAGTGGGATTCCTGCTCACAGCCAACATCGGTGATACATATTTGAACTGGTCCTGAGCCTTCCCTAGGTCGATTCAGCCTTATTTGAGTAGGCGGAGCGGTGTGTAAACATCAGCACTTGGGACACATATGCGGTCGGGTGTGGTTGCTGGCCACAAATCCGTGAAAAAGAGCTTCATAGCTCATCAGATTTATCCAGGATTAATAAATATTCTTATTCTGTGTCAGCCTTATAGGTGCTCACGAATCGCACTTGCCCCACATTCTGTTCACTCTCCAAGGGTCTTTGTCTTTTAGGATTGTAACATCATTTGATTGTGTGCGGTGGTAATTTCATGTGAATACCTCCATCCAGCAGTGTATTAATCATGATTAATGATGATGATGACTCATAAAAGAGCTTAACCGTGACTCTGCTGCAGTATTTATTATATTTTCTTCGGCAGAGTGAAAGTTGCATTACATTCTGAAGATATACAGTACAAACGTTAACATTGACATGTTTGTGTTTATGGAAAACTAATAATAAAAGTTACAGTGCAATTAAAAATAGCATTGCGCGATGTGCTTGGTAGCACGCACGAGATCATTTTTCCAGAGGGATTTAAAAAAAATATATAAAAAATTGTATTTCAATATTATTCATTTCTTTAAATAATTAAATCGTAAACATAAACACGTGTCCAAGAGCAAAGATTTGTTATAATTTTTTTTTAAAGCACGGCAGCCAATTACCAACACCCAACGCGTCGCGGGGGGAGAGCTAAACACAAACTGGGCCAATCCGCAAAAGTGACACTTTGCTAAATGTAATTTAATCAAATAAAACTGACAACGCAGGATTATTTCTAACACCACTTCTGAGACTTGTTGAGTGTAGTGGCACACAGAGGGTTGGGGGAGGGGTGGGGAGCATTGGGGGGCTCACGGGGCAATTGCCCGCCTGAAATCTTTAGACGACTGTTTAACATAGTAGACCATTTTTTATTTTAATTAAATGTCAAATTTGAAAGCATCAATAAAGCAATTATTATAATTTGCGCCCGACGAAAATTGTTGAGACGTGTGCAAACAAAGATCCCCCGTATAGCCTTAGACAGGCTGTTGGGCCAAGTGCCGTGAGTGCCTATGAAGGCTTTCACAAGTACACAAGTTCAGGATGTGCCCCCCCCCCCCTACTACGCTCTTCCGCCTTTGTCTCTCCAGTGCTGATACATACACGCTGAACCAGATGCTCATTTAAAGCTGATTCGACCTTCAGGTGGCACATGGCTGGTTTCGATATATGCGACTGGTGTGCGACAGGTCGACGGGTTTGTAGCACAGAGCGCTAATCGCTGCACTGCCGCTTCAATCCGGGGCATCGCCGGCGGAAGACGTCTACAAGACGTCTACACGACGTCTACAAGACGTCTACAAGACGTCTACAAGACGTCTACACGACGTCTACAAGACGTCTACAAGACGTCTACAAGACGTCTACACGACGTCTACAAGACGTCTACACGACGTCTACAAGACGTCTACAAGACGTCTACAAGACGTCTACAAGACGTCTACACGACGTCTACAAGACTGTCTACAAGACGTCTTGTAGACGTCTACACGACGTCTACAAGACGTCTACACGACGTCTACAAGACGTCTACAAGACGTCTACAAGATGTCTACACGACGTCTACAAGACGTCTACACGACGTCTACAAGACGTCTACAAGACGTCTACAAGATGTCTACAAGACGTCGACCTGACTGCTATGGGGTTAGTGGCTCGCATGGAACCGTGATGTGTTTGAGGTAGCGCTCATTCTCTCGCTCTCTTATGCATGGGGGTCATTCTCCAGACACTTTGCTTTGCTCCCACGTCCAAAATTCTCTCGCGAATCGTCGAACGTCACATCACAAGCAGGGCCCGCCTCTGCTCACCTCCCCCGTGCGTTATGCACACTGTGTTGGACAGCTATGATTTGCGTGACTTCTGTTAAATTATTTGACAAAAATTCCGACGCATTTTCAGGGTTTAGGGGGCGTGTAATGCCTCGTGGGTGAGATGGTTACCGAGATGTTAACTACCTCGCCTGATATGCCCGAGGTCGATCCCGACCCTGACGCCTGTATATCTGGAGTTTGAATGTTCTCTCTCTCCCCATGGTCGCGTGGATTTTTCTCTGGGACTTCGGCTTTCTCCGCTCCACGTTTAGAAACATGCATTTAGAGTATTTGGCTGATATACATTTCCACGTGATAAGCCATTTCGTTGAACCATCATTTGTGGCCAGAGCGCTTCTGAAAAAGAGCTACAGTGAGGGAAAAAGTATTTGATCCCCTGCTGATTTTGTACGTTTGCCCACTGACAAAGAAATTATCAGTCTATAATTTTAATGGTAGGTTTATTTGAACAGTGACAGAATAACAACAAAAAAATCCAGAAAAACGCATTTCAAAAATGTTATAGATTGATTGCATTTTAATGAGGGAAATAAGTATTTGACCCCTCTGCAAAACATGACTTAGTACTTGGTGGCAAAACCCTTGTTTGCAATCACAGAGGTCAGACGTTTCTTGTAGTTGGCCACCAGGTTTGCACACATCTCAGGAGGGATTTTGTCCCACTCCTCTTTGCAGATCTTCTTCAAGTCATTAAGGTTTCGAGGCTGACGTTTGGCAACTCGAACCTTCAGCTCCCTCCATAGATTTTTTATTGGATTAAGGTCTGGAGATTGGCTAGGCCACTCCAGGACCTTAATGTGCTTCTTCTTGAGCCACACCTTTGTTGCCTTGGCCGTGTGTTTTGGGTCATTGTCATGCTGGAATACCCATCCACGACCCATTTTCAATGCCCTGGCTGAGGGAAGGAGGTTCTCACCCAAGATTTCACGGTACATGGCCCCGTCCATCGTCCCTTTGATGCGGTGAAGTTGTCCTGTCCCCTTAGCAGAAAAACACCCCCAAAGCATAATGTTTCCACCTCCGTGTTTGACGGTAGGGATGGTGTTCTTGGGGTCATAGGCAGCATTCCTCCTCCTCCAAACACGGCGAGTTGAGTTGATGCCAAAGAGCTCCATTTTGGTCTCATCTGACCACAACACTTTCACCCAGTTGTCCTCTGAATCATTCAGATGTTTATTGGCAAACTTCAGACGGGCATGTATATGTGCTTTCTTGAGCAGGGGGACCTTGCGGGCGCTGCAGGATTTCAGTCCTTCACGGCGTAGTGTGTTACCAATTGTTTTCTTGGTGACTATGGTCCCAGCTGCCTTGAGATCATTGACCAGATCCTCCCGTGTAGTTCTGGGCTGATTCCTCACCGTTCTCATGATCATTGCAACTCCACGAGGTGAGATCTTGCATGGGGCCCCAGGCCGAGGGAGATTGACAGTTCTTTTGTGTTTCTTCCATTTGCGAATAATCGCACCAACTGTTGTCACCTTCTCACCAAGCTGCTTGGCAATGGTCTTGTAGCCCATTCCAGCCTTGTGTAGGTCTACAATCTTGTCCCTGACATCCTTGGAGAGCTCTTTGGTCTTGGCCATGGTGGAGAGTTTGGAATCTGATTGATTGATTGCTTCTGTGGACAGGTGTCTTTTATACAGGTAACAAGCTGAGATTAGGAACACTCTCTTTAAGAGTGTGCTCCTAATCTCAGCTCGTTACCTGTTTAAAAGACACCTGGGAGCCAGAAATCTTTCTGGTTGAGTGGGGGTCAAATACTTATTTCCCTCATTAAAATGCAAATCAAATTATAACATTTTTGAAATGCGTTTTTCTGGATTTTGTTGCTGTTATTCTGTCTCTCACTGTTCAAATAAAACTAACATTAAAATTATAGACTGATCATTTATTTGTCAGTGGGCAAACGTACAAAATCAGCAGGGGATCAAATACTTTCTTTCCTCACTGTATACAGCTCAGTGGGCCTTACCTGGTAAAATAATATATAGTTAAATATACTCCGCGTGATCAGATGTTCCGGAAAATAAGACACTCCAAACCTGTGTCCTGTGCCAATAAAGTTACACAAATCTGCTCTAACACACGCGATAATAAGATACACCCCCAACTTTTGTTTTCAAAGTCATGGGAAGAAAATGTGCTGTAATTATCCCGAGAATACGGCAATGAAAAGGCCTCAGACTCAGTCAAAATTTCCTGGATAAATGAATCACGAAACCAAAAAAATGCAATTAAATCGCCACATTTGCACAACCTCAGAGATGATTATTGCTATTATTAAAGATAGAGAGGAAAAAATGGCTTTTAGATACTTAAAAAAAACCTCGGTATACGCTCGTGAATATACTGCCAGAAATGTATAAACGCGTGGTGGAAAAGTTTGCCGTTATAAGTGTGGACACTCAGGCCAAAGCACACACGGTTTGAAATTACCTACGGCCTTTTCTCCGAGCCAACCCTTCTCACCCGGGAGTCTTCTCACCCTGCCATTAACCCTCGTGATGTGAAGCAGATCCAGGCTTAGATCACGCGGCGTTGCTTTTATTTTGGAAACGTCTGCGATGGGACACGCAGATGGGAGTTTTCTTAAGACCGAGGGGAGGAGCCAGATATATATTTTTTATTTTTTTATTTTTTAACCACGCGTTCAAACGCCTGATTGAAAGCGTTAACACATTAGTCGTGTCTGTCTGTCTGCCGGTGCACATGTCAGTCTGTAACATGGGGGCCACTATAATGCTCGTGAAGATGACCCAATCGCGAAATTACATTGAGTGTAAAATTTTGTTGCAATTGGGTTTATTCCTTCGTACAAAGCTGGGTAAATTTCATCAATGGTAATACTTTTTTTGATTGAAATGTCTGTCTGTTGCTTAGTAGCTATGATTACGCAACTACTCATGTGGCTATTTTAAAAAAAGCCAGTCATGAGAAAATATATATTTTTAAAATGTAATTCTCATCAGGCTCTATGGTGTAAAGCGCAGTCTTCAAAATCTCATCCACTCAATCTCTCTTCTGTCCTCTCTATTTATACGCTATGAAAAAGGGCCATTGCCCGAAACGTCACCTATTGTATATATGTTTTTATTTAAGGCCTCGGGCCTAGGAGAAGTAGGACTGACTCGAGAAGAGAACATTTAGTTAAGGACTTTCAATACAGCAGCCAGAAAAGCCACACTGAGTACGTGTTAGAATCACGAAGCCCCCTCCCACATTCAATGGCTGTATCCATTAGGCCCAATCTCAGCACTGGAGGAGCATCTCAGCTGTGAGCTCAGGGACAAGGAAGAATAATACAGCACGTGCATGGAGTCCATTCCTAAACCTTTGAACAGGTGAGGCCGTCCATAATGTCACGATGTTGCAATGTATGATGTAAGGGAGGATGTGGAAAAAAAACATATTTTATGAAAAAAAAGAATTAAGGACTCAATGCCGCAGACAAACGTGTTCAGTTTTGTTGTTGTTGATTGTTTGTTTGTGCTTGTGTGCCACTCACAACGGAGCAGCAGCAACGGCGGCACCGCCAAATAATCGATCAAAGTCGTTGTTGCCCAAAACGTTGGCAATAACAAAACGGGCACTGAATATAGACAACGCGACACGTACACTAATTGTTGTATGTGTGTCAAACCCCCACCCCCCCGCAGTTAATTGTTAACCTAAGTAGAATGAGGATAGAGACGTAGAATGCGTCGTCACTGTTTATGTTTCTTCAAGCAGACGATTTATTACTCGTGTATTTGTGGCCCACGCGGTCATGGAGTCACGGACCCCCGAGGAGTGAGGAGCGGATAATAAAACGGAACCAGCGTGCGCATGGAAACCGCGAACGAGAACGGCCAAAGCTGCAGCCGAGATTATGGTAACGTTTTTTTTTCTTGTTGTTTTACAATACTTCGCTACGTTGGTCAATACGGGTTGGTGAAGGGGTGAACCCACGTGTTGGCTCCGACATCGCTCGCCACTCACGCTCGCTGTGGCGGGGAATTGAATTGAAGACCCCGGGGTTTCTAAACTAATTTCTTTTTATACTATTTGGTCCTTTCGGTAAAGTCACGTAGGTATATATATATAAATATGGGTTCCTGCAGCCACGAAAGCTTCAAATCAAGATTAATTTCTATTTGAAGACTTATGTATTTGGAACTGCTTTTTGCGTTTAGTTTGTGTACCTTCACCCCTGCACCTCCGATTAGCACGGTTGACCACGTACGGTGCGAAATAAGTTCCACGTACATACAGTACATTCGTGACCCAAACATCATCGCAAACTCCTAGCTCTGACATTCCTCCTCCAGGGTACCGGTGGATCCATCAACCGCATCAGAACATCGACAAGGCCGACGCGCACAGCTCCTTCATGAACGGAAAAAGAAAAGACACAAGCCACGCTGTGGCCGTGGCTATGCGACCCAATTTATGGACCATCTTGTAAACACACAGAGAGACTAATCGAGATAGACCGTGACTTTTGATGATGGTGATGATGAATGATGTTTGTATACGCATTACTTTGATGGAATACAAATTCAGTTTCAATTTAAAGAGATAGTAAAATTGTATGTAGTTATTTGAACAAAAAAATTCACCCAAACTCTTTTTAACTAAGGTTTAAACGAATGTTGCTTGCATGGTGTCCTTTATTTTACGTGTAAAAATGTGAAAAAAGCTGGTTTGGAGTTAAGCCGTTTGATTGATCACGCTTTGCAAGTGTTCATTTAAATAAAACAGTTACACGGAAATGCCCCACGCGTGAATGTAAAATATATTGTCGGGCACATTTAGCGAAAACTAAATCTGGGGAATTGTGTGATGTGCCTTATTATCTGCGTGTCACAAAGTGTTACTTGAAAACCTTTACCAGGTTTTCATGTAGTTGGGGGATTTACCAAAAAAACCGGTAATATTAAATTCCTCCGGTGGATAAATTGAAGGCATCTGGTTAAAATAACCAACTCCATCTCCCAGTCCCACATGCTGAAATCTCTTCCTCCAGCGGAGCCCTTACGGTCCCTCTTCTTATGCCACGGTTGCCTGCGGGAGCGTGGAGTATTAACATACACAATGCGAGTCGTTGCTCATGATCGTGATCAATCCGCTGCTGGATGAAGACATCCCCCAAGCCGTCGCCATCTCTCACGATCCTACGATGTAGAAATCTACCCGGCATCTGCACGCAAGCTGAAATTCATCGGTCCGTCTCCTCGGTGTGACGCCCTCGTTGTGTCTCGCTGGCACACAACAGACACAGATCCTCCAGGCTGTTGGGGCACAGGTTGTTAGCGAGGATCTATTATTAAGGCCGCGCGGCACACGAGGAATTGGGTGGCCAGTGCCGATATATTTTTTTACACACCGTATCAAGTAAAATTTGAGGCTGAGTCGACATGGGAAAGGGCCACCGTCGATTCAAATATTTTCCACTGTTATTAGTTGTGAGCCGGAATTGAACTTGGATTGGCGGGTTTAGAGCGCAGAGCCGCTAACCACTATCCTGACGCTACCCAGCAAACGAAACACAAAAAAAAAATACTTTTAATGTTTAGTTTGCTGTCCTTCTCCTGCACCTCCGATGAAGCACCGTTGACTACGTACGTTGCAAAAGAAGTTCAACATTCATATGTGCTAACCCAACACAGCACACACAGACACATACACACATGCAAAAGTACCTAGAAGAACACGTAAATAAAAAAAACACACGGTAACCGAGACATTTACTTGCAAAAACTCAAGAACATGCAAACACATGTTCACAAATATTTTTAACTCTGGAGTCCTATTGGCCCAAACTCATGAGTGTGGGTTCAAAAGTTGAACTGTAAGTCGTCGGAGAGCAATGCATTTGGCCAGTAAACATTACAACTGCTAAACGCATGGAGGCTTGCAGCCACAGCCACTATTTGCTGCACTTATTACTTTTTACAGCAATTGCTTTGCCCTATAAAGTTTCCACACAGAGACGAGCCTCAAGTACATGCGTCTGCAGCACGGTGCATTTGTAACCACAGGGAATCTAAATGTGTAAAAAAAAGTAATCAGGGAAACATGTCAAACTTCATAAACAAATGGTCTCTTCGCAAAGCCCTGCAGTAATGCTACCGCACGTCGACTGGTGTGTGTGTGTGGGAGGGGGGGAGTGGTGGCGCGGTGGTTGACGCACTGCGAAATAAACCCGCCGTGGTGGTGAGATGTTAACTGCCTCGCATGGTATACAGGGGGTCGTGGGCTCGACCCCGACCCTGACGCCGGCTGTATAGTTGGAGTTTGCGTGTTCTCACTCTCCGTGGGTTTTCTCCGGGTCTTCCGGTTATTCCCTCCACATTTATCAACGCCCGTTTAGAGTATTTGGTTGCTCTACATTCCCACACGATGGGCCACTTCAGTTAAGCGATCATTTGTAGCTAAGTCACTCCTGAAAAAGAAATACACGGCTCAGTGGGCCTTACCCGGTGATAATAAACATCGTTTCGTTACTTAGTGTAGGCTCCTCTCTATGCACGTATTACTCAACATCCACCTCTCTCATTCGCTCTTCCTCTTTGCTGTCATCCCTTCTCCCGACCCTCTTATTCCCTTCCCCTTGCTCATATATGCATATAAAAAAAGCCTCTCTTCCAGACGTCACGGACAGGGACGAGAGAGAACATGTCGTGCACGTTCTCCTCCCCCTCGCGTTGCAGTGTTTCACTCGGTCTCTTGTGCGACCTATTGGTTTGTGTTCATGGAAAGCGTGACTTCAACAAATGGAATCGTTCCGTCATCGGCACAATCGGCGTCTCCGTCACATTGTAGCAGGAAGGAGAAGGAAGGAGAAGGAAGGAGAACGAATGAGGAAGGAAGGAAGAGGAAGGACGAGGAAGGAGGAGAATAAGACGAAGAAAAAAACCGTGATTCTTTTTTTATCCAAAATTATTTCTTGTGGGGGAGCTTAGCCATATCTGAACACGGTGATGGGATGTGAGATTAAGTTCCAGTTTTCAGTTTGTTTATTTTGGTATAGCCCTGTGAGCCATTCGGCTCTTGAATCGGGCGCAATCACAACAAACAAAAACACAAAACACGAACAAGAAAAACATCTTAAAGTGTGTGACTGTGCAAACAGAAAATCCATTAAAAAAACAGCAAAATATTCCTGAAAAAAGCACCGTATACCAACGCTGTGTGCAAAAAATCCCAATGGGATGCATGTCAAACAACAACAACAGCAACCACAAGAAAACTTAGATTAAGGCCGTCAGTCTAACTCCGTACTACAACAAAACAAACATGTCCAAACCAAAAAACATTTCAAAATCCCCAAAAAATAAAGCCATAATTGCAACGTAACAGTGATCATAGGGACTGACCGAATTTTTACAATAAACTACATAAATAACATGTAACACCAAATCCTAGAGCCATAGCTGGCTGCATAAGTTACTCCACAACAATAGAAGCATCAGTGGGAGTATCACATTTTTCAATGCACCTTTAAGATCAGCACGCTAAATCAAAATACAGATAATACTTTGCAGCGTCATCCGGAACGAAACATTTTATTTTATTTTACGCCAATGAATAGCAGTGGCAGCTAGGGGTGTACAACTCCTCTAGAGCAGTTTTGAGAGAAAATCTCATTGGTAGCGATTCAAGTTGCAGTTTATTGGCAATAGCATTCCAGACCCTGGGGGCATCAATAGCAAAGGCCCTTCCTCCAGTTTTTGTACGGCAATAGGGGAATGTGAAGCTGGTAAACGAGCGAAGACCTGAGGTCAAATTTGTTCTTTGAAACAGAGGGGAGATCCAGCAGGTAGTCTGCGGATTATTTTGCAAGTACATCGTGAATAAATACGATCTGGTGCACAAGCCGTCGAACATTAAGAGATGCTAAGTTTGACCCAATGTAGAGATCACAGTGGTGAGTCCTATATGGGCAGTTCAATGTAAATCTTAAGGCCGAGTGATAGATGGAATCAAGCTTCTTCAGTACAGTACTTGGGGCTGATTTATACACGATGTCACAGTAGTCAAGTAGAGGCAGTATGGTAGCTTTTATCAATTCCAAACGGAACATTGGGGGGGGGGGGTCAAGGGGGGGGGGGGTGGCGAGAGGGAGGAGGGCCCCCCCCCCACAGTCACCCACAGTGACTGTGACTTTGCCCATCGTCGCGCGAGCCTCCGTCAAGAGAACTCTGTCCCACGCTCACAAAGGGCCTTCTCACGTCACCGGCGGCGAACACAAAAACAAAAACACAGAAATCGCGGGGGCGCTCGACTCGAAACACAACGCGGAGTCACGCCCACGCGTCGGCGGAATAAATACATCTCGCGGAATCAGTGGGCGCAAGAGCGGTGGTGCCGCGGTTGGCACAGCGCACTCTGAATGCGTGGGGGATCTGAGTTCGATTCCTGGCAGCCGCGTGACTCGCGTGGCGGGCAGCGGCGGGGTGGGGGGCCTTGCCCCACAACCCCCCTGGTGGTCAAAGCTACGAGTATGGGGCCCCCTTGACAACCAGCATGAGAAATGCTTTCAACGACAGTTTGTAAAAGAACAAAATGGTATGCAAGGACGTGATTAGGCAAGAGGGACCGCGATGTGTAGCAGCCTAGGTGCGACCGTGCGAGCGAAATCAAATATTGGCGCCCCACCTGAGCGATTTGCCGCACAGCCCTGAGCTGATACATGTTGTAAATGTCGTGGGTCTCCTCCCCAACACATCCGGTGAGCTGAACTCGTAACGAATTGGCACGTTTTGTTGACGTGACAGACCTCACCAATTGGCTGCTTCGGGAGCGGTGGCGGGTTTAGAGACACATTAATACTTACGCGATATAACACCCCAAAACAGCCTCCGTTGCGGATAGCATTCGACGCGAATGCCGACTGCTACCACCACGCGTTAACCCGACAACAACGACGACGACGATGTAGTTTGCTACGCCACTGAATGCCAGCCACACACGTGGCCGGTGGAGAGAAGCTCGCGGACCTCTGCTCAGATGGCTCCGGCGAGGTGATCCATCACCGCCCCCCCCTCCACCCCCCCCCCCTTGCTTCGGCTTCTTATTCTCCATCATCTGCATCACTCCATCTCCCCCCTCCCGGGAGATGCCCCGCATGCAACCACAACGAGCAAATGTGATTTGTGACTATTCGATCCTCACCCCGTGTATCGTCGATAGTTCAATTTGAATGTGCAGTTTTATTCTGGGATTGTTGTTGTTGCTGTTGTTGTTGTCTTGCTGGGGTCTAGAACTGTTGTTGTTGTTTTTGTGGCTTGCTCATGCTTGCATTTATTGTTGAAAAGTCGGTAGGAATCGATATATTTTGCAATTTGTACTTATATACTTCATGAACGTTCATTTATATTTATGTTTGTATTTATTATTTTTTAGTGACTTGCTTACCTCTCCTATACTTTGCACTCCTATCTGTGTTTGTACTGTTCGTTGTTGTTGTAACTCTCTGACTCGCCCCTGCTGGACATCTGTGAACAAGAGCTTCATAGCTCATCGGATTCGTCCAGTTCTAAACAAAGATTATGATTCTGACACGCCACCTTCCTCCTCATCAGACTCCTCCATCGTCATCCCTGCTTGCATCGATTCTCTCTCACGAAATCCCCCCCCCCCCCCGTCGGCTCAACTCGCCTCTTCGTTCTGCAACGCAACATCTCCAACGCATCTTTCGCCCCATCAAGTGGAGTTCCACTGCTACACGATCATGGTGAGTCCTACGCAACTCGACGCAGCGGCTCAG